GCGTAGCGCCGCCCCGGCCTGCAGCCGGCTCGCCTGCGGCCCGCTTCCGAGACCGCCGCGGATGGTAGCTGTAGGACCGTATTATGTAACCGTCTTTAATCTTAATTGTTTAATATTACGTAACAAGCAGTAACGGTCCCCGCGTAAACCCGTGACGGGGACTCGGATCGTCTCAGCCGCGGTCTCGTAGCCTAGCGGTGGCGGCGGGTGTGGGAACCGGCTAGCGACATGAGCGGATCCGGCCATCCGCAGCGCCGGGACCGTTTCTCTCTGTTCAAAACGGAATACCAAGGCCGGCCTGGACTCCCTTGAATCCTTGGTGGTATATATTCTGGTGTAAATGTCTTAGGTAAACATTTCTTGTCACATTGCCTCTTTCTCCATTGAAACCCCTAACTCCGCTGATAATTAATGCGGATCGAGTAATGAAGAATGCGTTTGTTTCGCCTTCTTGATGAGGTTCGACAAATTGTCCGCACATCCACGTAGGACTTCCTTGCTCTCCGCTTCATAAAAATAGTCAGGTCACCTGTTTTACGCGTCGACTGTCCCTTCGGTCAGCTGCCATTTGTCGTCCATGGCAGGAGTCCTTGCCAGTGTGTTGAAAGGAGAACCGGTCGGAGGCTGGCACACAGGTTGCTGTGGGCTGGGAAGACCGCGTCTGAACTAGCAGAGGTTTCGTTCCCAGCCCTGTGAGTTAAGAAGTGGGGGCCTCATCATTGTTCTCTTTTAAGTCCGAAAGGTGGTGGACGACTGCAGGGATTTTGATGTGTTGGTGGCCAGGGGTCTTGGGTACTGCCTTTAGTCTGCTGCGTGTTCCTTTGCTTTCAGCGTTGTGTGCGGAGTTGTTCCTCCTTGCAGTGGAAGCAGGGCCCACATAATCCCCTTTTAACCCAGGCCTCCTGTGGTCAGTATATTGAGTGGGGGAGGGGAGGGCGGTAGGCTGGGGGTGAGAGACTTATTGGGATTTTCCTCTGTTACTACAGAGAAGAAAGGGGAAAACAATATAAAGATTTGGGGTGCTAGGCAGCCTTGTGCTGAAGTAAAATTTAATTGTGGGGTGGGGTATGAGTGCATGGTGTGGATTAGAGTTGTACCCCTGCTGTGCTACTTGCCCCCTACCTTGATCTGTGAAATAGGGAGGATAGTTACTGCTTTGTAGCATTGAGAATGATCATATGAACTGCTGATGAACACAGCAAATGGAGTTAATGGCAATTGCACTATTGCTTTGAAGGGGATGGGAGAAGTTCCAGATCGGTAGAATAAAACTGGGAGTTATTTTTAGCATCTCCTAAGCATTTCCATCACCAGCTACTCTTCCAGTCATCATGCAATTACCAGCCCAGAACTGGGTTTCTGAGCCTTCAGAGAACACTGCATCTTTTGAATTTTGGAGTTTGGTGACATTTAGGCTACAGTCTAAATTCACTGACACTCAACCCTTGTGGTCCCGCAAAAGCCGAGCAATTTCTTGGCATGTGTTCTTGCGACTTAGAATGTCTTAGAAAACTCATTTGGACTAGAACAGTTTTATGTTCCTTTCACATTTGGGAGGTTGCACCCTGATAATGACTACGTGGAAGAATGTATAGGAAAGAGCAGGGTTTTCAAGGTGTGACCTCTGAACAACCTGTATCAGCACTACCTGTCTCTTTGTGTGTATCTCCAGGCCCCTTTCAGATCTATGAAACTGACATTCTGGGCTTGGGACCTGGAATCCCACATCTTTGTGAAGCGTGTTAGTTGATGCTTACAGGCCTAAAACTTGAAAACTGTTGCTCTGTTCTGGGCCTTGTAACTGCTTGGGCTTCTGGTGATTAGATCAGAAAGCTGGCAGCTCCCATCAGCCAGAATTCTTGCCTAACTGGACGGTCAAAGGCAGGCTGAGGGGTGGCGTTGAGGCAGTTTGGGCCCTGTGGACCCTGGGAGGTCTGGAAGTGTGTGTTAAAAGAGGCCTTTGTGTGGGCCTTCTTGTTGCTGTCTTTTCCATCAGATTTTAAAAAAAGCAGTTGGCTCAGTCCCCAGGACTCACCCAGCTCCGCCCAGTACAGGACACTGAAAAGCACATCTGGCAGTTGGCGTGGCCACGCTTTACATCCAAAATTGGTGCGATGACTGCATTTCCTTGTGTTTCATAGAATTCACTAGTTGGGAATCACCCACAAAAAGCTAGCCCATATGAACCCCTGTCAGTACCTGACCCGTTTCGTGAAGGTTTATTCTTATTTGTTCAGGAAAAGTACTCCCCTTTTGTTCCCATGTGGAATGGACTTTGTTTCTCTAAAGGCTGGTGGAGGTTAAATTACAGGGGCAGGAAAGGGCTGAGCCGTAGCTAGGATTGGGGGGCCAGTAGGCATTGATTGGTTCCATTTGCGACTTCCGCCCCTTCTTTTCTCTTCCTCCTTAGGCAGGGGGTCAAGGACTGTCTCCTTCAGGAATATTCCTGGTCTGTGGAGAACTGCCTCTAGGCATCCAGAAGAGTCTGAGCTGAACTCAAGAAGCTCCAGGCTCAAATCTGCTATGAAGGAGAAAGGAAAATTCTAAATGTATAAATGGTAACTTTAAGTCACCTACAAATAATTTCTCTCCTTTCCTGTGCTGTGTCTGGGAGCCAGCTTCTGTGTGTTGTCCAAGTACGAGTAGTACTGGTAACTGGGGACTGGTCATTCGCCTTTGCCAACCCGTGACGGCTGTGCAATGCCCCGCAGCAGGTGTTCAGCACTCAAGTGGCAGGACAATTGCAGGGGGGGCTCTGGATGGCTTTTGACAGGGACCTCTCCCGTCATTCATCCACCAAATGTTTGAGGAGCCAGCCTGTCTCCTTAGTCTGTTCCTGCTCCACTTAGATTGAAAATAATGAAATCTGGGTAGACAGGGAGGGTGAGCAGTGGATTGGCCAGGGTTGACTCAAAAATAAAGTAGTGATATTATTTTTTTTTCCTTATTTATTTTCTTGAAGGGAGCTAGCAGATTTCAGTTCAGATACAAGTTAAACATTAACAGTGTCTGAAAATAATGCTTAAACTTTTATCTGCATGTGAATCTAGGGATCACATTGAGATGGAGCTTCTAGTTCAGTAGTTCTGGGGTGGAGCCTGAGACTATGCATTTTTCTCAGCTCCCAGGTGAGGCCCATGCAGCTGGTCTGTGGCTGATGTTTTGTGTAGTAAGGTTTTCATACATTTCCTCCTATTTTATCTTTAGTTTCTTTTTCTCTAGAAATTCTCTGAAGAGGACACTTCACCCTGTAAGAGCTATTATTAATAATGAATGCTATTACTTAATCCAGGAATTTTTGCCAAGAATTTTCCAGCGATTAACCCTACATTGTTATGAGTGACACTCTTAAGTGTGTCCATACTTTCTTCCAATTATAAACATTTGCATGGTGTCCCACTTTGACATTTGCTTGGATTCCTGTGGGTTTTATTTAGTGGTTTCTCTTTTGTTTATCATGACAGAACACTTTTAGAAAGGTTTGAAACCTTTTGAATCTGGAACAGATTGGGAAGCCCTACCTACATTCTTTTTAGGAATGTAGGGTTTGTACCCACATTAAGCTTGTAAACTGTAACATCTTAACTTCTTTTCAAGTCCCTATTCAGTACCTTCACGTCTCAGCATCACAGACAAGAACTGGGAAGGGCCTCCAAGCCATGGAGAGAAACAATGAAGATGTCCCAGGGAGTCTGCTTCCTAGGGCCCTT